TAGTCCCTTCATCGGAGGTCAGGGCTGGGAGAAGCAGGCCCAGGAGTATCCTGGGAACCCATCTGCCAGACAGCCCTGATGGCTGCTCCTCGCCCCTGCGCCTTCAGGGAAAAAAATCAGCCCAACTTTGGGTTCTTTAAAGTTCTGAGAGCCCTGGGGCAGGGGCTTGGGGACAGAGCCAGAGGTGGGGTCTTAGGCTGCACATCTGTGAAGGCAGAGGCAGAGAAGGGCAGCCGCCTTTGACCCCTCCCCTGTACGAGCACTGCAGGCTTGGACACCTCCACTGACAGCTGATGGCCAAGAAGGAAAGTCCTCATTGCCCTCCTAGGTCAGTAGCTCCTGGGAGGCCCCCTGGTTCCCCCAGAGGAAAAATCATGCAGGGTACTATGGATCCCAACTTCCACACCCTCACCCCATCCATGGCCATGCTATTCCCAGCCCAGAGATCCTTGGGGAGGAGGCCCCCAGGGCCTGTCTCTGAGCACTCACGTGCCAGCAGACTTGCCCCCTCACCCTAGGGAGCCCCCAGCCCCAGTCACATGGTGTCAGAGTTTCCTTGGTAACTGGCCTTTCTGGTTCAGAGCAGTTGGGGAGTAAAGCCCCTGGGATTTGTCAAGAAACGCACTGTACATGAAATGCTTTGCCATCTTGTACGAGAGACTTTTTTTTTTAAGTTCCAAAATTATGATGGGAGTTTTTGGATTTGCTTTACGAATAAACCTGATTGGTCCATTTCTCTTTTGACTGACTGCCTCTTTGTAGTGACACAATATGTACACAGGTGTCGATCCCACCCACGTGCACGCCGAGTGTGTGCACGCGGGGAAGGATCGCTCCTTCGTGCAGTTACTGATGTGAGCAGGATCACGGGATTGTCAGAGCAGGCGGAAATTGTGCCCAGCTTCCCCTCTTTAACCTTTGGCAGTGCCTCCCCCACTCTGGTGGCCCATGTTGGTTTCCTTCTGCCACAAACGGGCCCGCCCTTGGAGGCTCACCCTAGGTGCACTGTTTGAGTTGGCTCCACCCTGGCCAGGAAGACTCTGCTTTGAGGGCAGAGAACATGGGGCTTAGTCTCCAAGAGAGATGGGGTGGGGGCAAAGCCAGCCAGAGCCCCCTCTGCCAGCCCAAGGCCTCCCTGGGTCTGCTGCTGGGACTGGGAGCCACAGGGCTCCTTGCTCTGGCCACACTTTGCCCCCTACCAAAGATGGCCCCAGACTTCTTCCCGGGTTCCTTCTCAGGCTACCTCGGATCTTCCCCACCCTAGTCCATCAACCGCTGTTGTCTTCTACACATCCATTTGCTCTGCTTTGCTGGGGACACTGGCGGGAGACAGGAAGGGGAGCCCTTCCCACACCCGTGTCCCCCCTCACAGCCTCATGCCTACATCCCACTGTGGCTGTGCGAGCTGACCAGGCCCGCTGGGGAAGACACTGGCTTGGTGTGTGTGGGAAGCCATGAGTGCTGGCTTTGTGTGGGATGGAGCAGATGAAGGAGCCAAACCGGGCTGTGAGGGGACAGAGTAGCGTGTGTGGCCGGGACTGGTGTGCATGGGGAATAGGGCAGGCCGGTCAGATCGGGTCCCTGTGGGGACAGAGTTGAAATGTGTGAACACAGATCTTTTCAGGACAGGGGATGGAGGAATCAGGGTGACCAGTTCGGGTCCTTGTGGGACAGAACAGATGGTGGGAGCAGGCCTAGACTGAATGGAAGACAGCTAGAGAGACAGGATGGGCCCTTGAGGGCACAGAGCAGAAGGTGTGACCAAGCCTAGCCTACGTGGTGAATGAGACGCCAGAAGGACCAGCTGAGTCCCTCGGGAGTGGTGGGGCAGGCTGAGCCACCCTTTGGTGGGGTGACCGCCTCATGAATCAAGTGATCCAATGGGATCCAAAGCGGGGTCGGGAGGAATTCAGTGGATTGGATGAGGTCTGGACTCAGCCGGGGAAGCATGAGTGGTGCCTGGGTGCTGATGGGAGGCAGCCAGGCTCTGGTCAGCGGCAGGGGGTCTGGACGGCCCTCTCTGGACTGCAGCATTTCTGCGTGTCTGTCTGTCTCTCCCTGAGCTCTGTGTCTGGCCCTTCCCCCATGACTGCATCCACACCATCCTGTCTCATCAGCCCCGCCTTGGGCCTTGGGCCTGGCCCCCAGCGCACATGCTGGGCCCATCACCAACTCATCTTTTTGCAAACTTTGAGCAAACCCAGGAGTCCCTCCCTCCCTGCACTGTGGGTAGCCGGGAGGCTGCTGGAATGAGCCGAGCCCTCCCCCTCAAGCCTTGCACCCCCCTCCGTGGCCCGCCGCTTTGCCATCCTTGGGACGGGCTACCCTTTGCCAAAGCCCCCCTCCGGCCTGTCCCCCCCTCACTAAACAGTTTTCAGTGTCTCAATAGCTTCTGCTTATATGTTTGAAGATTCCAAACTGAATGGGGAGGTGGCGAAGGCCGCGCTGGCGAACGAAGACTGCCCCCACATAGACCAGGCCCTCACTCCTGATGAGGGCCTGCCCTTTACGCGCTCGGGCGCCCGCGAGAGATACGGACCCTGCTTCCTCTTATCAACCGGGGAGTACGCGTGCCCACCTGGTGGAGGAGTGAGAAAGGGTATGTAGAGGAAGCTGGAGCACTGTGCATCGGCCGGGCCGCCTCGCGCTCCTGCAGCTGGGTGGGCAGGGCGGCGGGGAGGGGCGCTGGGGCAGGCAGGCACACGAAGGTGGGCAAAGACAGAGGGAGGCCCGCAGGGTTGGCCCCTGGAAGTCTGAGTCCCTTCTCCCCCGTGGGGATTCAAGCTGGCAGAGCAAAACTGAGGCCCAGGCAGCTGTGAGTTGGCATTGAGCTAAGGTGGTAGGAAGAGGCTTGGCACAGGCTGGCACATAATGGGCCACGACTCCAAGGCCAGGGGTACCCAGGGAAGCAGGAGGAACCTCTTGCAGGCTGCTCCAGTAGGGGCAGGGCTGCTCCAGGAGGCGACACGATCTCTCCTCTCCCCTGGTTGAGGGTGGTAGTGGGGTGGGTGGCATGCCTTGGTCAGGGCCTGTGAGTTTAGCAATCCAAGGTCCATGTTATGGAGGAGGCATCCTTTAAAGAAAGTCCACAGGCCAGTGGGAGGGGAAGCTTCAGGGTTTGGGGACAAAGCCATCGTCCTTGCAGAGGTAAGGTGTGTGCCAGGCTAGTGGCAGATAGAGAACCTGCCAAGACAAGATGGGCAAGAGAATGTGCTGCACCTTAGATGCCAGGGGTCACTGGCCCCCGCCCCAGTGTGGTGAGCGCCCCCTTGTGGTTGGCGAGGGCTGAGACCGCCAGTGGCCTCTGTGGGAAGTCTTGTACAGTAGTCAGAACTTCAGGCTGACCCTGCTGGAAAGAGGCTTCTAGTAGAGCTTGAGCATGGGCTGGGCAGAGGCTTGGGGTGTCCAGAGCGCCTCAGGCCTGGAAGATGGGCCACGCCTTTCTCGATGCAGTGGACTGGCGGGGCAGCTCGTGCATGTCTGGAGCGCCTCACACGCGCACATGGATGCTTGCTGGGAGAGGGTACAGGCTGGGTCAGATAAGTACTCGGATTTTTGAGAGCAACAGATGGTGTAGCCTGTGGCCATTGCCACCCACTCCAGTATTTGAAGTGGCTAAACCAGATGTAAGGAGAAAACAGACTTCAAAATCAAAGGCAAACCTAGAACAGGAAAGGCAGCCTATGCTGAGACAAAGTCCCGAGGGTCACTAGTGCTTAGTTGTGCCCACCTGATCTAGGCTGGCCCCTTCTTCCTTGCTCTGTCTGGAGCTCCCTGGGACCTCGGCGCGGTGCACCACTCCCTGCATGGTGCTGCATGGCAGGGGGCTGCCGGCCTTGGGGAGGGCTGCCATCCTTGGCACCATCCATGGATGGGCCTGCTGCTCCCCCTTGCAAGTGGCTTTTTCCCATGTGGAGACTCTAGCAGGCCCAGGAGCAGGGGCCACCCTGGAGAGGGGCAGGGAGACCGTTCTCAGGGGCTGTGCCCTGCCCAGTAAGGTCTCATGGCTGCCTTTCTCCTTCATCTTGAACACTGGATCAGTTGGTGTGGCCTAGAAGAACAGACAGGAGGCTCTGTACCGGGCTTCCAGAAGCCCAGGGAATGTGGGACAAAGGCAGCCCATCTCTCTGTAGTGGCCAGAGCCCAGCAGCAACCACTGTCCACAGGTGATACCCACTGCCCCGTCCTATCCTGGCTTAGGTGCTCAGAGACTCTGGGAGGTGCCAAGGGTGCAGGGTCCCACGTTTGTCCACACAGCCCCACCTCTCTGGAGTCCTGCTAGCCACTGAGGACTGGTTTTTCTGGGGGGGATTCTGAACCATAAGCCGGCAGGTGCTGGAGACCACATGGAGAGTAGAGAATTAGGGACTCCACCCGTTCCCCAGCAGGGACAGAGAGGCTGCTCGGCTGGCTCGCTGCATGGGAAACAAGCCAGCTGGAGAAGAACCTGCCTGCCTCTGCATGTGGCTGTTCTGTCTTTCCTCTTCCTTCCTTAAAAACTAAGTGCCAAGCGGGATGGGAAAGCCAAGAAGAGAAGCTCAAGTGTTAATTGTATTCTTTACATACAGATCTTTGCAAAGAAAGCCCTGTCATTGCTAAGTATATGCCGACAGAGGCTGTGAGAGTGACTTGACCAGGCGGCTTGGCCGAGGACACTGGTGGCTATTAAGCATCTGGGTGGACCTGCAGCCCCTCCTCACCCTCGGACAGAGTAATTCACGCCATGCAGGTTTGCCGGACGAGTCCGAGTGGCACAGGCATTGTACTAGGACGGACGTAGCTTTTACTACGGCCAAATGGTAACTGACCGTAGAGGATTTCTTTTTCTTCTTTTCATTTTTTAAAACTTTTATTTTATTTGGGAAGGGGGGTGGAGGGGTTCCTTAGCATGACTTGCATGAAGTTAAACAGAAAACCCAGCAAACCAAATCCACCAACCCCCTGCAACTGTATGATTACCCTAAACAACGATAATGAAAAGAAAAAGCAAAAGTCCCATATTTTCTTTCAGAACTTTTTACTTTTATACACACTGGTGGAGCCCAGCTGTAACAGGGATCGGTAGAAACCTGTACATTTCTGGACGTGGGGGTGGGGTGGGCTGGGAGGAGAGACGGGGATGGGAAAGGACTGCTTCCGTTTGTACACAAGATGGAAATCAAAGGTTCCGAAAAGGGCAGTCGGTCAGTCATCGGTCATATTGACCTCACCTTCATAGTTCATCTCTCATGCGGAAACCGAAAACTTTGCTTCACATAGAATTGTGGAAAATCGCACTGCCGTCTTCCATTTGGCATGCTTGTGACCCAGCAGACGTCTCCCCAAGACCCTGACAGCGGCTAGTCTAGGTTGATTCTCTCATCTTACTGGTGTGTAGATCCAGTGTGACTAACTTTCATAACAAATTGTTCATAGCAAATAATCAGCACCATATGGATTTTCCAAGTGTTCTTTTAAAACCAGGATGTAGAGCACCAAAAGTTCAGGACCACAGGAGGGGCGCCCTCCTCCACTTTTACCAAGGCACAACCTGGCACTGTATGCAATTTAGTACTTCAGAGTTAAAAACTGCATGCCCAATGTTATGCAAAGCGATTTGAGCATGAAATAAATTTTGTATCATGGTTTCTGTATAGTCTAAAGCAGATTTGTTTTCCTGAAGCAATCGGAGGTTTGCAGAGACACGCTTCTGCATCTCGAATAAATATAGTATTTTCCCAACAGAAACAGAGGACAGTAGCTTGGCTTTGGTCTGATTCTAAAATTAGTTGGGGGGGGGGGAAGGATGGTATTTTTGAAAAACACATGCTTGGGTTGAAAAGAAATGCAACATCTCGAGCTTTCACTGCAGCTCACAACATTTCCTGGAAAGAGAGCAATGATGCTTTAGCTCAACAATCTCCCCTCCCTGGGCCCTGGCCCCAGAAATAAAAAGCTGACTTTTGAGATGAAGCACGGATTTGGGTTTTTATTGCCTCCAGGCAGTGTCGCGATTCTCTTGGGCTTCTGGTCCGTTGTGGCTGGGCTAGGGTAAGCCCTGGCTATGGCTACCACTCCTGCCAACCCCATGGGGGACAGCCAGGCCCTAAGGAGGAAGCTGGCCCCTCCAGGTTGGTTGGGAAGCATGGCCCGTTGCATTGCACATCCTGTTGGACTGAGGGAGGGAGGCATCTCGCTGACAGCACAGGGGGTCCAAAGGGGTCCACTTGGCATGGACATTTCTCTGTGCATCAGGCTACATTGATGAATCTTTGAATGTGGCCACGTCAAAGTGTCCAGTCCCCCTATGCAGACCATGGTCATCTCCCTGCTAGGGCTACTGTGGAATCCGATGGAGCCAGAGGCAGAGGTCTACCTGCCAGTTCTGGGTCCCCCAGACAGCTGTACCCCTGCAGGTCCAGCCTGGTAGACCACCTCACTGAATACTCCTTTCTCAGCCTGCAGGCATCTTGAAAGTACAGTCCTCTCCTAGGGATCTGGCCTTGCTCATGTTGTTCACTTGGTTTTGGTGAAGGGGCAGAATGGAGGAGTCAGTCCTTTTCTTATCCATCGGAAGTCCCAGGAATGTTCAGTAGAAAGAGTCCCTGAAGGTCATAGTAGTCAACCTCTGAGCATTTTATAGATGAAGAAATGAGACCCAGGGAGGGGCGTTATCTGCCCAGGGCTGAAAAGAAGTGGGTGTCAATCTTGCTCTGATTTCAGTTCCCTTATACCTCCCAGCATGGCCTGAATCAACGATCCCATGGATGGGTGGGAGGTTTAAGGTGTGTGCTGAATTTTCATCTGCCAGCCTTTCTAAGCATTTGCCTTAACTTCCTGGTGTCCTGTGAAGTCCAAGGACCAAGAGGTTGGGGTTGGTGGAGCCTCTGCCCAGGGTTATATGGCCTCCAGGCTGTAACAACCATTCCTTAGTCTCAGGATGTGCAAGCTAAGCGGCCTTGGCTGCTGCAGGGAGGGTAACGTTTATGCTACCCAGGGATTCATGGCGAAGAAGAGCCTCTGATGAGTAACACAAAGCCATCTGGCATCTGGTTTTCGGGGTCATGGGAGCTAGGGGGAAAAGCAAATTAACATATAGTGAGCATCTACTATGTGGGGGTCATCTTACAAACCATGTCTAATGATAGTTCATAGCAATTCAACAGCCCCATTTCAGAGGAAAGAAAACAGGTGCAGAGAGCTAAAATACAGTAACTGGCCCAAAGCAACATAGCCCATGAATGAAGTCAAGATTTTAACTTAGGTAGTCTGACTGCGGAGCTCAGGCTAAGCTCTCGCGGTAATTGAGGGTTTCCTGGGGCTGGCCCTTAGGGGCAGAATTGACAGAAATAGGAGTTGCTGGTCCTAAGTCCCAGGTCCCTCAGGACTTGGCTTCACGCCCTCTTTCATGAAGTACCATGGGTATGCGGAAAGGGGCCGCGTCATATCCGCCATCGCACACAGCTGGCCCATCTCTTTCTCGTGCTTAAGTGCCCCTTCACCCTAAGAATGGAAGATAAGCTCCTTCAGCTGGGAGGCCTCTCTAACCTCTCCTCTCCTCACTCCCTCAGGGCCTCAGCCTCTCTGAACTTCTGACCCCGTAGCAGCCTTAGGACCTGGGACACTTTCCCTCTAACAGCCTCTCCACTTCCCCAGAACTTCATTTGCTAACTCAGCTTCAGTTGATCACTAAATCATTTCAGCCAGAAGTGGAGGACGCTTTGGGCATGGTGAGAAGGCTTTAGAATGGGCCACAGGCCTGGACTCCTACGCACCATGTCATCTAAGTTTGGTTGGATGGCCCTCAGCTCCAGGGGCTGTGGGTAGGAGGTGTGAAGGGCAGATGGGGTATCTGTGGTCAGGAGGGTAGGCAAGATAGAAACGTTCCATCAACATCCAGGACAAGCTGGTCCTTCAACAGTCACTCCAGGGGCCAGGCCAAAGGCCTAGGAAGTCACACTGGAGGCTGCGCCTTTCTTCTGTTCCCTTTCTTCCTTCTCCTGGAGGAGAAACATGAAGGCTAATTTACTTAGTTGATCGTAAAAAATAATTTTTCAAGTTAGCTCCTATGGCTCATTAGCTAACCAGGGGGATGACAGCGCCACTGACTGTCATATAGCTACGATATCCACAGCACAGCTCTCGTGTATATGCTTACCAAAGCGGGGTAAAACAGAAGCTGGAAAGGATGAGAGCATCACAGAGGCCACTCACTTCACCTCTCCACGGTGACCCTGTGGGTGTACAGATGGACTCATCCACTTACTCTTATTGGCCACTTTTGTATCAGGAGTAAACCTTGGTGAAGGGTTCTACAGACCCTGGTCCTGTGCTCACAGAGAGATCATGGCATAGTAAGAATGGGAGCCTGGACATTTACAAAGTCTGAGCATGCTGCAATGCCAGTCACGTCACTCAGAAAAAAATCTGGGAGACACTTATCAACACCTTCTTACTCATCATGTGGCAGGTGCTTTTGGACACTCAGCCGGAGCCAGCGTGAAGTGACTAGGGGAAAGCCCTTGTGCTGACACCGCTGCCAAGAAGGGTGGAATGGAGAACCTGATGTTACCGAGTGGTCGATGGGGTCTCCTCACGCCCACAGCGATTCATTCCTCCATGTGCGGACTATCTGTACTCTGGTGCTTGAAGAAGGATCTGATTCAGTTCGTAGAGAGTGAGGTTCTAGATCAAAGAGCTTAGGGCTGATGCACCCCCTGACCCTGTTTCAGGCTGGGAAGGAACCCTGAGACACTTCTTTCTGATGCTCATAAGGTGGTCTTGGGAGAAGTATAGGATTTAACAGCAGAGAACTTGGAGTTCTGGTCTCTTCCAGCGGGTGCTGGAACAGATAGGAGGGAGCTCTGCACTGCAGTCTTGTGAGAAAGATTGTGCTGGTTCTTTGTGAGCAAAAACTCTTGTCTATGAGGTATGGGCCTGGGTGCTATCCCACTGGGGCTGCTTTCTGCACTGTTGGATCCAGAACACAGCCTTAGGAGAGCGGGTGGTAGCCAGTACCCTTAGGCTTGCTCCAATATGGATCATCTCTGGGCTACCTAAGTGTTCTGTCTGTGTGGGCCTGGTCCCTTTGCAAGACCAGCTCTGAGTGCAGGGGTTGCACTGGCCTGCTGGTTCTTGGAGGTAGGGGACCAAGGGCTTTGCTAGTTATTGCCATATTTGTAGAGTATTTCTAGAATTGGAGCAGGACTCTATGAACCAGTGTTTACGGTATGCCTACGGATGCGAGTGGTCTCTAGGTTCAGGTTGGGGAGCTCAGGCTGGTCCTTAGCCATATTCTCTTAAGCTGAACACCCTTCTAGTCCCAGGGTTATTCTCTATCCTACCCTCATCTAGCTCAGGGCCCAGGCAGGGTCACTTTTAGTCATGACCCAGGGTTTGAAGTGAGTTATATGTCCTTAAGATGGCCCTTTCGCACATGACCAGTAAAAATGTTAAAAACTTTCTCAAGGACCCCCTTGTCAAATGAAAGCCCAATATGGAATATATGGATAAAACCAAAGCTTTGAATAAGGTGGAGTGGGCAATCCAGTCCTTTGTCTACTTAGCCTCCTTTCCCCATAGTCCACAGAAGGCCACTATTCTCAGAAGACTCCAGGGCTCTGAAGAATGCAGGAGAAAGCCACAGGCTGAATGGAGATTAAAGGTTCTTCAGCTTGGATATCTGAGGATTCTGTAAATTCTTAAAGGCACGGGAGCCTAGCTATCACAGACCCAAACTCAGAAGCTGTACTGCCCGGCCATTATGGTCACAGAGGCTGGCTCCAGCATCCTGTCTGGCTTAGATGAAGAACTTAAGTCTTCCAAAGAGTTTCACTGGTTCTAAACTCCTTTGTCTGTCTCAGGGCTCTCCTTCCAGCAGTCTTGGTTTTTTCCCACTTATCCATTTCACTCCCTCACATCTCCACTCCAGAGCCTTCTCTTTTGGCCCTAGTCACCAAAGGTCTTCCTCCCTCCCTCCCTCCCTCCCTCCCTCCCTCCCTCTCTTCTTCCCTCCCTCTCTTCTTCCCTCCCTCTCCAAGTCTCTAGGCAGAGGACCTCAATATACCTGAACACACAAGCTGCCAGCTCTGGGTCCTGAGAAGAAAACCTAAGGATAGGCTTGGGGCTGCTAGAGCCCTGTTTTGCAAACCAAAGGCTGCTGAACTGAAGCAACCACGGGACTGGGGCTGGGTTTTCTGTCTCTGCCAGTCAGGGCAAGGCTGGAGGCTTCCTGTCGGGGTTCTAGCTTTCCGTTCCCTGTGGTGCAGACCTAACCCTCTTCGCCTCATTGAGTAGAAAAGGGTGCCTCCTTGCGCGTGGACATGAGGGGAGCAGCTGCCCATGGTTCTGGTTTGTTGGCTCAGGCCAACCTCACAGCCCAACACAGCGAGCCTCTAGGAAAACTTCTGGTGGGAAAAGCCACTTTATTAAAGGTTCTCTATCACAGTCCCTCGCTTCTGGATTTGTCAGGATGGCTTTGGGTTGAAATTTCTGTCTTTCCTTCCAGTTTCTCTTTGTCCAACGCTTCCTGAGATTCGGTGTCCTCAGCGGCAGAGGGATGGTATGTGACATTGAGATCCTCGCCCAGGGCAGGTTGTCCTGGCAGCTGACACAGGGCGAGGGAGTGGCCAGCCCCACAGCCCACAAGCAGCGCTGGTGCTGACCGCAGGACTTGCACAGGCTTCGGGGTCCAGACGGTGGCTTCAGTGCCATCCCCACACATGCCGTGCTCATTCCAGCCCCAGGAGTAACACGCCCCACCTGTGAAAGAGAGGGAGACACTGTAGAGGGGTTCTGGGGAACAGGGCAGAAAAACACTCACTCCAAGGGTGCAGGTTCCGTCATAGACTACAGTTCACACAAGAAACCATGCAGCACTCAAGCGACTGAAGCAGGAAGATCACTGTGAGTTCAAGGCCAGCCTGGGCTACAAAGTGAGTTCAAGGCCAGCCTGAACTGCATAATGAGACTCTTCCCAAAAAGACAAAAAAAAAAAAGTAGAAGAAACCATGGTTCAGCAGCACTTGGAGGCCTGCTAGCTGTCCCCTCCTGTTCCCATGTCTGCTGCTGTTCCATGATGTTCTGTTCCCACCACCTCGTAGCACTCCGTGCTCAAACCTGGCTTTCCTCCTTGGCCCTTCACTCATGGCCACCTCCACGTGCAACCCCTCGCCAAGACCCAAGGGCCCGGTCTCCAGGAAGATCTCAAAACTTTCCTAGGTCTGTCCCTCTGCACCGCCCTCACCCAGATCACCGTTTCCTCTTGCCTGGCCACAGCAACAGCCAGGTAACTAACGAGGCTGCTCACTGTCCACTTTGATCTTCAGAGGGATCTCTGACAGCTGCAAACCTGATCGCACATGCCTCCCCGCTTAAAACCAACCCTTCGACGACTTTCCCTGGTACTTAGAGAGGCATTTCTCTGGCCTAGGATCTGACACCTATCTTGCTGGTCTTACCCTACACAACTCTTCCCCACCTTCTTTCTCTCTCTCACTGTGTCCCCAAACCCTGGCTTCTTTGAATTCCTCAAGAGTGCCTTGGAAGGCCTTCCTTTCTCTAAAAGTTCCAACTTTTAGGGGTTCCAGTCCTCCTCATGCTTTTCACTCCAGTCTAAATGTTGCCCAGAGGCCAGGTAGTCTGGCCACCCATCCTTGTTAGGCTCTTGTTTTTTTCCTCTACAAGATCACACACTTTGTAGTGATGTACAGTCTGTTTGGTGACCTTTCCCTCTCCCCTCCTCAGCAGCCTATGCTCTGGGGTGAGGAAAGAAGCAGCATATTCTATTGTTCATTCTGTCTCCAGCACAGTGCCTGGAGCTCAGCAAGGAGAAGACCTTACTGTTGGATAGATGAGGGGATGAACAAACACACAGTCACACAGCCAGAAAGTGGCCAGGCCGGCCCTAAGCCCAGGTCACACCAGCCCAGGATGCTTCCGCCCCATCATACCCTCTTCCTAGGTCTTGGGCCCTCTCCTGGGGGCTAAGCTCCCTCAAATTTTTCTGTGGTTGCTTTAATAGTTTCTTCTGGATATAAAAATAATACATCTTCATGCCAAGAAAAAGAAAAAATGGAGAAGAGGATGACTATAAAGTAAAGCAGACCAGCAGACTCTTGCCCACTACTGTGAATATCTTGTATTACCTCTTTCAACCTTTAACTTGTACAACATGTGAATATTTGAATATATTTTTGTCCTGCTTTTATCCATTATATTATAATCCAGATGTTTCCCCACGGAATTGCAAATTATTAAAAAAATAATTTACCTGAAATTTTAATATAGCTCAAAATGCAGAAAGGTACTGAAAGTAATTTAAGAGAAAGACACATAACCTCACCTAAATTAAGAGCACTGACATTGATATTTTTCTGTATTTGTTTCAAATTTTCCTTTAAAAAGTCATAAAGTTTAAGCCCTGCCTCCCACTCTTGCCCCTCCATTCATCTCTCCTTTCCAGAAGTAACCACTATTTTGAAGGTGGTGTACCTTATTTGCACTTACAGTTTTCTACCTGTATGTCCTTAAATATTATGTAATATATTTAGTTTAAAGATTTAAAAAAATAGTATCATTCAAATATATATCTTTTGTGTGACTTGCTCCTTATACTCATTGTTTTAGAAATTTATCTGTGTAGGGTATGGTGGTGCACAACTGTAATCCCAGCACTCAGGAGGCTGAGGCAGGAGGATTGCTATGAGCTTGAGGCCAGCCTGGGCTACATAGTGAGTTCAAGGCCAGCCCGCACTGCATAGTGAGAACCTGTGTCAAAAGACAAAACAAAACAAACAAAAACCAACAAAACAAAGAAAAAAAAAGAAATTTATCTGAGCTGATAGTTAAAGATTTAACTCATTCACTTTAACTGTGCGAATACCTCATTATGTAAAACCATATTCCCTTGGGATGCATAGTTCTTTAATAACAGTTATTAATGCTACTGTGCAATGCAATATCAAATATAATAATCTTATACAACAACAACACTAATATGGTAGCTATGATAAACAGTATTGCAATGAACATCTTTGAAGAGGTCTGAGAAAAGAAAATGGTGTTTTTGTGCAGGGTGATCCCTAGAAGCATCCAAGAGTCAGGGGAATCACATGGTTAATTTTACTCAGTATGGCCAAATAGCATTCCAGAGTGGCTGTAGCATTTATACTCCCATCAGCTGTGGATATGGATTTGCTTCTCTGTGTCTTTGCCTTCAGACACTGGCTATTCTGCTAAGTACATTTAATTAGTTTGCATTTCCCTATCAGTCAGATGGAGCACAGCTTTATATATATTGGTCACACCTTCTTTGCACTGTCTATTTACATTCTTTGCCCATCTTACTCTTGGGTCATTTGCGTTTTTCTTATTGATTCCTAAGTTTTCTTTGTGTATTTTGTTTATATAATTCCCCCTTGTTACGTGCATAGCAAGTGTCTTCTACCAGAAGCCTGTGGTGTCTCCTCACTCTCCTTACCATGCCTTTTGTTATGCAAATTTATTTATAATGGCTGCCTAATTGCCTATTATGAAGATTAAACAATTTACTTAACCTGTTTCCTATTATCAGCTACTTAGGTTGTTTCTAATTTTTCATTATTTTGTATAGCATTGCTATGAACATCTTTATGAATCTTTGTTGCTCTAATTCTTTTCTCAAATTAGATTCTTAGAATGGAAGTTCTTGGTCAAAGGGTATAGACATTACTGAGGCTCCTGAGTACTGTTCTGAGTACCACCAGAATACTTTTGAGAAAAGCCACCTCAACTTCAGCAGTCTTGCTCCTGTATTGCCAGTCTTATTATAATATTTACAGATCTTTTCTAATTTGAAGGCAAAAATGGTACCTTGCTGTTTTAATTTGTACATTAACATTGAAATTGAAAGATAATTCTGTTACTCAGTATTTATATTTCCTCTTTTGTGTATTGTGTTTCATATTCTTTTTCCTGGTTAGCATGAAAGAGTTTAAGTGCTCACACCCTAGAGCCAGGTGACTTGGATTCAAATCCCAGTACTAACACTTATTAGCGGTGGATAGAGGGAGCTGGGGATTTAGCTCAGTGGCACAGCGCCTGCCTGGCAAGTGCAAGGTCATGAGTTCAATTCCCAGTACTGAAAAGAAACAACAAAATGAAAAATATATATATATCATTAACACTTATTAGCTGTGTCCCTGTGAACACTATGAGCTCCCTGTGTCTCACTTGCTTCATCTGTTAAATGAGGACAATAAAATCTTTCTCATACTGTTGTTTCCCAGGATGGATTAAATGAGTAAATATGTGTAAAATACACAGAATAGAACCTGACATAATGTAATACATGAATAGCTACTATTGTTACCTATGAAGCGCTCTGTTGTTTTAAAGATTTTTTTAAGGCTATTAATTCTTTTTCTGTCATACTTGGCATTAATTTTTTCCTCAGTTTGGCTTGAAACTTTGTTTTGGATCTTCTGATATACATGTTTATGATTTTATGGAGTAAAATTGATTGAACTTTTATGCTTCCGTTTCTCCTATTGCTTTTAAGAGTGGAAACTTCCTCTCTGTCCAGATCAGAAAATACTCTTTTTTATTTTCCAATGATTGAGTTTTTAAACCTTTACAGTTAACCAATTACCTACTAAAAATTTGTCTTGCAGACTACACTTTGAGGAGAGGGAGGCTGGCTGGGTCCAGAGATTACCCTGCCCATGCCTTTTCCTTGGCCAGAAGCTCAGGTCTGGGGAAACACAGATGTCTGCACGTTTGGCGGGAGGGAGAGGAAATACACACAGAGAGGATGAGCCCCAGGCCCAGCTCTCGCAGCCAGGCGGGCGCTCGGGCCAGGGTAGAGACAGCAAGGAAGCCTTGGTACCTTCGGGCCCAGTTTGGCACCCGGTGTGGGCTCTGTGCCTGGCCCTGGTGAGTGGCACAGCTGACTGACAGCAGGGATGGAGGTGGGAGGAAGGCAGAGCTGACCTCCCAGCAGGATGCCGCACAACAGGCAGCCCGCTGGTCCCGCTCCTCCTGCCAGAGAGAACCGCTCTAAGGAAGCCATGCTCAGGGCCGGGGAAGCAGGAGGCCCAGGGTCTGGACCTTTACGCCCACTGGGTGGAGAAGCCTGGCAAAGGCCCAGATATCTCTTCCCTAATACTGCCAAAGCAAGCTCACTGTATATGCATTATTTCCAACAACCCTGCGAGGCAGCCCCATTGGATAGATGATCTATAGTTTAAACATGGTTCTAGAACCTGGGAGTGTGGCTCCAGAATGAGCTACATGCTGCATGTGTGTCTAACTTTGCCATGCTTATTCTAGGGCCGGTAGGAAATATTTTAGGTTTGAAGGCCGCATTAGGTCTCTGTCACATACTCTCTGTTTTACAGTTCTTTAAAAGTGATTGCTAGCTTGCAGCATTATTCAGAAACAGGCCACAGGCCAGAGTGGGTTGTGATTGGCTGACCCCTGGCACGTACCTCTGGACCAAGCTGGCCTGTCCTGGGTGCCCTCACCATACGGCAGTGAAGTAAAGGCACTTAGGTCCCGATTACCTCACCTTTTCCAAGAGGGTTAATGCTGATGTCCAGTGCCTGACACCTGGTGACAGCTCACATCCACGTGGGAAGCACAGCACTGGGAGGGGAGGAAAAAGCAAGGGAGCCACATCTGTGGCAAAAGCACAGTGGGGAGGGAGGGGCCCCTGGAATGACAAGAAGTGTGGAGTCTCAAACACACTGACAATGACCAGGCGCTAGGGTCAGAAGGCAAGG